CCATTAGGTCCTTTTCCTATAGTTTCATTTTCATTAAGAACATAATTAATTTGTTCCCTTACTGCTTCATCTTGAATGCCAAATAAATGAACTTTACATGGACTAAGGTAATAGATTTTTACTTACTTGTTGATCTAAATGTGGTATATGAACATTTTGGGCTCAATCATAACTATAATGTGTAGTGGCATCAATACTGCAATATTGTGTTTTACCCTTTGAATAATGTTGATCAACTAATTTTCTTTGTTCTTCTGCTAATTTAGTGTTTTTATTATAATAATTTCTCTCTAATTTAGCCTTAGACAGATGTTCTTTAAACCTTTTGAGCAAATCTTTAGCATCTTCCTCTTGGAGAGCATTATAATGTAGACCATCTCTAAAATGCTGGCAAGTATCACACAAGTCAGTCCTGAGACTCATAATTCGAATTTCTGGTGTTAATTGATGTCATAATTTTCTGAAAGCATCATATTTTAAAGATTTCAAATTATTATCTTCTTCCAGACCAGCTAGAAAATCTCTGTGGACTGATTTATAACTCATTTCAGCTGGTAAAAATACAATTGATTGAGTTATTCTATTAATACTTCTTCCTGGACTTGGTAATCCATGAACTTCTGCATAATTTTCCAGAAAATTCTTTACAATTGCGGCAATGTCTTTGTCAATCACCATCTTAGTTTTCCATTGAGGCATTCTTTTAATATTACCAGGATCGAAAAATTTGTGGATCTGTCACATAATTTAATAATCAAAGAAATTGGCAATATCCCAGAAGATGTATTAGATGATTATGACGATAGTGATATTGATGAATATGAAAATGTTAATATGACCAATGAGGATGGAAAAGGAATTTTAGATTATGATATAGATGGCTTATTAGGTGAATTTCTTAGTGAAGAGGTATAAATATATTTTTTTTTCAAAATTCATGTTCATTATACATAAATTTATGTATATATATGTATATAAAATATATAAAGCATTTTAATAGAAAACAATATGACTATAAATTTTGGGTGTTGTGTAAATATTTTTATTTTTTTTGCATTGTTTAATTTATCAATGTTTAGAATAAAAAATAAAATATTATTGATTTTATATATATTTGGTTTTTTTTTTTTGGATTATTTAATAATCTAATTAATTTACAATTGTGCAGTATAATTTTTACATATTATATAATTGAATCTGGTAGATGGCAGTTTTGACATTTCAGCAGTTTTGATATTTCAGCAGTTTTGTATTTTTGACATTTTTAGCATTTTTGACATTTTTGACATTTTTGGCATTTTTGGACATTTTTGGCATTTTTTGGCATTTTTGTCAGTTTTGACATTTTGGCATTTTCGGCATTTTTGGCATTTTCGACATTTTTGGCATTTTCGGACAGTTTTGGCATTTTTTGGCATTTTTGTCAGTTTTGACATTTCGGCATTTTCGGCATTTCGGCATTTTCGGCATTTTTGGCATTTTCAACATTTTTGGCATTTTCAACATTTTTGGCATTTTCAACATTTTTGGCATTTCGACATTTTGGCATTTCGGCACTATGTAGGAGGTTTTACCTTTCGGCATCAGGCTAAGCGGATTTTGTCAGGCAACCTTAGCAGTGGCATCAATACTGCAATATTGTGTTTTACCCTTGGAATAGTGTTGATCAACTAATTTTCTTTGTTCTTCTGCTAATTTGGTATTTTTATTATAATAATTTCTCTCTAATTTGGCTTTAGACAGATGTTCTTTAAATCTTTTGAGTAATTCTTTAGCTTCTTCCTCTTGGTGAGAATTATAATGTAAACCATCTCTAAAATGTTGACAAGTATCACACAAATCAGTCCTGGGACTCATAATTTGAATTTCTGGTGTCAATTGATGTCACAACTTCCTAAAAGCATCATATTTTAAGGATTTCAAATTATTATCTTCTTCCAGACCAGCTAGAAAATCTCTGTGGACTGATTTATAACTCATTTCAGCTGGTAAAAATACAATTGATTGAGTTATTCTATTAATACTTCTTCCTGGACTTGGTAATCCATGAACTTCTGCATAATTTTCCAGAAAATTCTTTACAATTGCGGCAATGTCTTTGTCAATCACCATCTTAGTTTTCCATTGAGGCATTCTTTTAATATTACCATGAATTCTTGGTAGAAGACCATTTTTTATCAGATGATTTCTAATATTTTCAAAATAAGTCCTGCCAATCCCCAACATATTGAGGTAAGTTTCTTGACAAAGAAGCGTATTGTGATCCCAATGATAGAAAGTTCTTTTATTAGATCTAGATTTCTTTTTAAGGCGTCTACTACTGCTTGTTAATCCACCATCCATTGCTTTAATCTGTGCCATTAAAAATATGTCTTGTTCAGACTTGGAAAGAGCTTGAAAAGATTCCCTTAATTCTGCAAATTGTTCCTTGGGAATTCTTGAAGAACAACCACAATTACATCCTTTTTCTAAAAAATCAATTGCTTTTTGATATTCATTAGAACCATTATGATTATTATTTTCATTATTATTTTTCATATACACTTATCCCTATATATAAATTTTATGTTCACTTTGTGGGTTTTTATAATTGTTTTAAAATTGAAGGAAAGTATATGAATGGAATTAAACTTAGATGAATCAATTGAATAGTTTTAATAAATGATTTAAAAGATATGATTGTTCAGTAACTTGTGAAGAGAAATTGGAAACTTCCTCATGAAAAATAATTATAACCTAGATTTAAATTGGCTTATCATCGTTAATAATCAAAATGAGTAAAGACAACTTAAAAAGCAAACAATAAATGAAATAATAACAAGTTAATAAAAAAATTGACTACCTTTACCAATGAATTTTTCCACACATTGTTGATCATAAACAGAAAATGTTATTATTGCTGTAACAAATCATGTGTAGTGATTTATAGTTTGTTTACTTTTTATAGTAATAGATGTAAAATTTACTTAATTTATTTATTTATTATTGTCACCAATTCTGTTTGGGAGAGTGTGAATTAATTGATGATAACAATTGTTAATTATGTTTATGTGGATCAGGATGAATAGGGTTACTAACGAATTAGTTTTTATTAGCGAATAATTTTGGATTAAGAAGATAATAAGTGATTATTTTATTTAATCGAAACTAATTAAATTATTTCTAACTTCTTAACTCACTACAAAGTTATTTTGAAAGTACTACGAATTCAAGCTGCTTATATACATGTTGATTAATTAATAATCTTATTCTGGCCTTTTAGCCATGTTCTGCCTAATTAGTCATATCCTGACTTTTTAGACATATTCTGTCTTTTCCATACTCTCTGTGTAATGGCTTTTTAGTCATAACCTGGCCATTTAGTCATTTTCTGGCTAAATAGTCGGAATATGGCTCATCGACATTATTTCTTACTAAATAAAGTTAAAATAAATAAATAGAAAAATAAAAATAGGATTAAATAATATATATATTAAAAATACACAGATAAAAATAAAAAAAAAAATAAATAATTCAAAATTATAATATTCAGCTAGTAAATCAGCACTAATTTCGAGTTCCAGCAACATTATTATGTTCAAAATATCTTCCAAATAGATTATAACAATAAAATTAATTATAGTTTATTTATATTTTTATTATTTATGTATTTTTAACATAAAAAGGATTATCTTCTAAGAAATAAAGGTAATTTGTATTTTTACAATAATTAAAGTATCTGTTCGAAATACTTATAATTTATCTTGTTGAAAAGTAACTCTTACAATTGTAAAAATTTATATTTTACAAAATAATCAATTTTTGAAACTTAAAAATTAATTTATATATAATGATTATTACATTAAGGTAAATAACTTTATTTGTAAAATTATGTACAAACCTATCCCCTTCAATAAGATTACAAAATGCACCAATATATTCAAATAATTGCTTGATTGACCTTGAAATATGTAATGATGTGATTGGTCCAGCCTTGGATTCCATGTAATCACTCTGGCAATTTTTTATCTTTGTATTTTTTCAATACAATTAATTATATATCTTGGTTAAAATAAAAAATAAAATAAACAAATATTGCTATTTAATACTTTCCTCATGTGTGAATTCCTTTCTTCCCAATGATTATTCAATACATTTGATATCATTTTTGACATAACAAACAATTGCATCACCCAAGTAGTAATAACGCCAAGGCCATGCATAAATGAAACTTTTAATAATGTGTGTCTGCCCAGATCTCTGGGTTCACAAGAATAAATAAATAAATAGGAAGGATTAAAAAAAATACTTTCCTTCCCATTGTATGATTTCTTATGAATAATAAATCTGATGATAATAACAGGTGTCAGATTTAATAAAATTTCCTATTGCAAACATGTGGTTGTGTGCTTTTGCACACCCCATAACCATGAAATTTTCTCCATAGGTGAGGCCCCCCACATGTTGGAAGACTTTTTCAAGGTTGGCAAAAGACTCCCCTTCAGACCAGGCTTGATTGTTACCAAATGAGCATTGATTGTTGATGAGAGTTGGCACCAGTGTAGGAAATTCAATGCCCAGGTGTAACATCATACACTAGTAATTTCCTGCAGATAGTTTTTAAATTTGTAGAAATCTGCATTAGTTACAAAATTCCAACATTGGTTGGCACTTACTTATGTGATGATTTCTGTGTGTTACCTCCCTCACCTAGAATAAAGTTGTAATTTCTTACCAAAAATTATACTAACATTAAAACCCTTTGATCAGGTTGCAAGCAACCTCCAGAGTGCGATTTGTTGGTTGCAGAGCCATCCATCTTTACCCTAGAGGTAGGATCATTGCAGACAACTTTTTGGCCAGCATACTATATCCGTGTAACACCAGTCCAGACACTGTGAGGAAAATTAGGTAGGATTCGTGAAAATGCCTTGACAATGATGCAATCTTTTGGTAAACTCCAGAGCCATGCGACCCCCCCCTGGAACTTAATTGCATCGTCATATCATCGGGCGAAACTTGGTCAGATTAGCCTTGTGTACATGAGGAACGTGAAAGAATGACTGTAATGTCTTCAAGATAGCATATGTGCTTTCAATTATGCTGCCTTGTCATTTTCTTATAATTATGTATTATTATTTAATAATATTAATATAAGTTACGAAAAGCAAAACGATACCAATAGTTTATTTATTTATCATGAATCTTGTAATAAATACCTAAAGAGACGCCACAAGTTCTGCTCCGTGTTTTGATTTCAATATACATTTATAAATAATACACACATCAACACGAAAATAAAAGTACCTCTCACTATTAATAAAAAACAGGTCTTCAGAACAAGCCCTATCAAAGTAACATTCATGTTTCCTCGTCCAAAAAAAAAAAAAAAAAAAAATAATTCTTTGTACAACCCATACGCGCGTAAAACGTCATAGGAGGACATTCATATGATTGGTCAGATATGTTACACTATATTTGCAATAAATTTTTTATCGTTTACAGTTTTAGATAACGGATCTTTTTTCCCCAGACAAATGATCCGTTATAGAGAGAGTGAACTGTACTATGTTACCAAAAGAAAATAATATTAATGCTAATCGATTTTGATTTATTTTTTTGAGAGAAATATATGTTGTATTTTTTTTTCTTTAATAAAATTATTTAAAACGTAGTTGATCTAAGTTTCAACTAAATTCTTGCATGTAGAAGTTTATATTTTGCTAAGTAAAACATGAGTTTAATTGATCTACTTCACTTATAAAAAACGTACAAGTTTTCCTCCATGTTTACCAAGTAGTATATTTTTATTTTTTATTTATTATATTTATCTAATAATAAATAAATATATATTATTATACAAAATTGTTAGCAGTAATTATAAAACAACTAACTGTTACTACTACTGCCTCTTGACATCCGTGTATAATATTGTTATTGATATACGTATTAATATCTCATAAATGAAGTAAAAGTAGTTAGTTGATAAATAGTATAAATTTTGCGCACCTTATATATTAATAAATTTGACATCCGTGTGTAGCTGTTTAAACAAATTGCATCGTTTCTTGAACATAACCTGGAAAAGTATTTATTAGCATGACCTTTAAAAAGAACATTCTCAGTTACCTTTCCCCGGTTGGTTGACATATAGTAATTGCACACGATCTAGTAATAGTAGTAGTTGGCGGCATTTTCGCTTCTAAGTAAAGCATATGAGGTTTATGATTCTTTTTTGATTCTTTTGCACAGTGAATATTAGCGTTCATGTGGAATAAATTATGTATTTTTTATTAGTGTCCTTAAAATGTATCAATAATCAATTAAATTTGATCGGCAAAACCAGCCAATCATATGAAAGTCCTCCTATGACGTAAAACGTGCATGTCAATCAAACGTTTAATTACTATTTTTTTTTAAAAATGGATTATAAGAAAGGAAAAAGAGGTGCCGATATTAAGAGAGCAAATACCAAAGGGTAAGAAGTTATATATTTAAAAAGAATGATGGTGGTGGTTGTGGTTGTATGCAACTGCTGCCACTGTTGCCACTACTCTAGACATATATATATTTTTTAGCATCTTCTAACAACGTTATATATACATATATACTTAGATCAAAGCTACCAAAACTGTCAGATAAAAAAACATTAAATAATGAAAATCAACAAGAAAATGTGATGCCAAAATTTGGGAATGTTTGTATATATAGTGATAGTTACTTTTATTTAGGGTTACGATTGGGTTTAAATATTTCTTTTTTTTTCTATTTTAAGGATAGCACAATCTTGGATCTGATGACACCAATATTTCAAAAATCAGAACCAGAGTAATAAATTTTTTTATTCAAAATAAATAAATTATTAGTAGCAAATTTATAATAATGTAAATTACTGTTGTAACATTTAGCAGCATAATCCGGATTGGAGTTTTGGATCTGGATGATCCACTCTTTCTAAAGGTTCCATACAATAAGATCAAAGAAAGATATTCAATGAAACTAAATCAAGAAATAGAGGACTCTGATATCAATGATATTGTATTTAATCGTATAGAGAATATATCAAAATTAACAAATATTGATGGTGCAAGTTCAATGTTAAAAAATTTTTACAAGGATGATAACGTATTTGGACTTGATCTAAATGATGCTTTACTATCTTTCATTCGAATCATATTTGAAACAATGTGAGAATTTTCATTTTTTATTTTATTTTGATCACTAATTAAATCATTTTAGTCATTTAATTAAAAGAATTTTATCAGTCTCAGATACTTTAAATTAGATCCTCAGTATTGGAATCGAGAACATTCAGAACCACACATTACTAGTGGATTATTTTTTCATACATTTTTTAATTTATTTTATGGTACCAATTATATAATAGAGTCTAATAAGTAAGAACTAAATTTTATAATATTTGAAACCAAAAAATTTATATATTTTGCTAATTAACTGCATTTATTTTAGACCACTTTTTGCAAACAAAGTCAGGAGAAACAAATTTAAAACATTGGATGATAATATAGACCAGGCCCTTGTTCCTGATATAGTTATTGAATCATTGTTATTTCGAAGATCTGAAGTCTTAATTGTTGAAGGTAGCAAATACAAAGAAAGTGAAGATATAAAAAAAGAACTTTCTGATACTGTAAAATTATGTACCGAATTACATGACATGCTTAATTTTATAAGTGAAAAGGCAATTTCAGAATCAGACTTGGATCAAACTGATAAGATTAAAGTGCATGGAGTTATAGTTTCTGGCAAGTGAATTTATTTTATAATCAGGCATTGTAAATAACTATCAGACTTGGATATACTTGCTAATTTTATTTTTAAATTAGGTTTGAATATGAAATTTTATACATTGAAAATAGTTGGTCCTGAGTTATACATATTTGAAAAGATCAGTGAATGTGACTTTCCTGTCACTTTTTACGATTTCCCACAAATGAGAAAAGCAATACTACAATTGGTTAAATTACGTGTAAGTGTTTTAATTCAGTAATATCTTTCAGCAAACTTGAATTTTTATTAATAGATTTTGTTTATTAACCTTGAAAAAGATCTCTGTGGATAAAAACATCAAGAAATTAATAGATATTTCACAAGAGTTAGAATTAGGGTACAAAACACCACTCTCACAGTCAATAAGTTGGTCAATGAAGATTGAAACATCTCCTATGTCTGCTCGAAAATTAAAATTAGAAGAATTGAAAAAGAAGAGAAAATTACCAAAAGATTTTTAAATTTTAGAATATTTATACTTTGCGTGTTGATATTTTTTCTTTAAATGGAATTTGAATTGTGTAACTGGAAATATATAGTAAATCGTTATTTTTATTAATAAAATTTATTCAAATCAGAAATTAACTGTTACTGTTCAATTTTTTATATCTCTATCATCTGTAACAACCTTTTCCCCTTGAAATTGGGCTACAAGATCAATTTCTTTCTTCAGATCTGCCTTGGAGGTAACTTTATAATTCTTTGTTGGAAATAGATATAAACTTATAAGACATACCAATGTGAGTATGGTTTTTGGTCAACTTTGATTATTTTCTTTTATTGCTGGGTGGGTTTCAAGTTAACTTTTGGTTACACTTGTTGGTTGATTTATTTTATGAATTTATTTACACTTGTCTTGGTTACTGCCTCTTTCATGTACCTAGATGCAACAATCCCTGAAATTATTGGTCACAAAACTAATTGAATTTGGTAATTAATTTTTATTACCATATTGGTAATCTATAGGAATCTTATTAACAATCAGTATTTATTGTTGAATTAAAGATATTATTATTGTAATCATATATTTTATTAGGTTATTTTGAATATAATTATCTTATTATTATCTTTATATTTACTTATATCTAAGGAGGTTATCTTTACTATGATCATACTATGATCATACTTTCTGGGAAGTCTATAAGCTCCCATACAACATAGAGATTGTAATATTAATTTAATTTATTTATTACCAATATGATCTATATTTGTATTTTAAGTATTGTAATTTTATTATTTAAAGAACTAAAATTTAAATGAAATAAAAATAACTTTTGTAATTTTACAACAATTAAATTACTTGTTCATTAAAAATGTTAAATAATTATTTGAATATTACTTGTTCATTAAAAATGTTAAATAATTATTTGAATGTTTACACTAGAAAACCTTGGCGAATTTGTAAGCACACTTTACAGTACAAATAGCAATTAATTACAATAAATAAAGACAGCCCTTCTATTAAGCAACAAAGGCTTATAGAGTTCCTATTTTATTTACTTTACTTGTTTACTTTTCTCTGGCTAATTGGAAGTCAGCCATAGATTTGCAACAAATAACAACACATGATATCAACTTTGGCTAATACTGTTAGCCTCATATAGATGGCTAATTAGTTATAACTGTCAATACTTCATACTTTTTGCTAGTGCAAGAGTGCAATCCGAGTTTTCTTATTAATACTTAGTTATTATGCTTGTAACCCACTAGACCTTGTTCTAGTGACTCCAATTAAGTTGTTGTACCAGACTCCAAGTCCCAAGTTAATTAGAGGTTTCTAATATACATCCAAGGTAACCTATATATCTGACTCTATGTCCAAGATAACCCGAGGCTTTTGTGGCTTTCCACACTATACTGACTCTATGTCAAGGTATAATGACCTTTATGTCTGACTCTACATCAAAGAGATAACAGGCTTTACCAATATTTAATTAGGTTCCTAGCTAGCAATTAATTCATCTGTCCAATATTCCCCAAAGGCATCCCCTTGGTAATATATATATTAATTAATTAACCACAAAAAAAAAGATTTAACATTTGCCGTGTCACGATCTCCTTCCAAAACTCGCAAATCGTGCGACTTCCGTGCAGGTTTCTCGCCGATTGTCTCCTTTTGCGTTTAGCCGCACTTGATTTTTCGGCTTTTGGCGCGATCAACGTTTTCACCATATTTAGCAAAAATTGTGTCGTACGGCAAATGTTTCGTTTCATATATAGGTTGCAATTGCAATTGAGTTGCATTGAATTGAGTTGCATTGAATTGAGTTGCAAGCAATGCGTTGCAATTGCAATGAAACCGAAAAATCTCTGTTTTTTAAACTTTTTAAACTTAATTTTTTGGGAAAGAATTTTTGCTTTCGCTGGGTGGTGATTTCAAAAAAAATTTTTTTTTTTATTTTTCTGAAAAAAAAATTTGATCTACATAAATTTTATTGCAAAAAAAAATACAAGTAGAACTGAAAAAAAAATTTGATATACGTAATTTTTTATTGCAAAAAAAAAAATACAAATGGAAATGAAAAAAAAAGAATAATGAGAATTATTCAGTGTCACAACTCTCGTCACCGTTGTCATTTACCACTGTTTCGTTTTCATTATCATCGTCATCATTTTCACAACCTTTATTCTTACTGACAACTTCATTCATTGTGTGTGTCAGTTTTGTTGCCCTTGCTGTGCTTGATTCTTCTTGTGGATCAAGGTCTATGCTTCTTCTTTTTTTGCCTGACTTCCTGATGTGATTTGTGGTCTTTCTCTGCTGTTGGAACTCATGAATTGTTCCTCAAAATCCAGGTGTTTGGATTTTAATGCTTTGCGTGAGGATTTCTTTTCATTGTTGTTGTTGGTCTTTTCAACACTCGGATAAGTCCACTCAATTTTGCTTGCAAAGACTTGCACAAGCTTTCTGCCCAGAAAAACCTCGCCTGCTACAGTAAAAATTTGTTTCCCGTTTTTTGTAGCATTGGGAACACCACCATGACGACCATTATCAGGATCATAAAAACATGGAATGTCCATTGATGTGTATCCACCTTTAAATGGGTCGTATGTTCTTCAAGACATAGTGAAGTAATGTTTGTCGTTTTGATTTTTTGAAGGTGTTACACACAGAGCAGTTATGACACCATATAAAGGACTAATTGGCAGATCGTATATAGTTGGTTTGTCTTCTATGGTTTTCAGGTCAAGTAGGGTTGATTTATTCACTGTGACCTGGAGTGTGTGACAAGAAATATGTTATTTTAATTATTGTTATTTAAAAAAGCAAGACAAAAAAATAGATAAAATACTCACAAATAATTGCGATTCGTCGAATATGTATTTTCCTGCAAACAACATGATGGTGTTTTCTTGAATTTCATCAATTAAATTTGCTTTGTCTACATTGAATGCCTTGTATTGGATGTCTACATATTCATCATCATCCAATATGGCTGTAGCTGTGCCGCTTAAGGTTCTGGAGCCATTGATGGACTTGACAAACACAATTGCGGTCAATACAATAGACATTGTTCTTTTGTTTGATGTATAATGAAACAAAATCAAGGAAATCGTGGAAATTGCGGAAGTCGTGGGAGTCATGGAAGTCATGGAGGTCATGGAATTCATGGAAGTCGCGAAAGTCATGAAGTTATAGCAGTTGGTAGAGGTCGTGATAAAAGTCATGAAAATAATGAAGATACCGATTCTGTTCAAGGTGACCACACTTCATTTTTCTCAGAAATAATTTTACAAGATCAATGTGGAAAAGAATGTAAAAAAAATCAAGCTAACACTAGAAATAAAAAAGATTTTGACAAATTTCCTGGTCTTGAACTAGAACCAATTCAAGGCACCAATTTAATTTTTAAGTTCCTGATGTAATGTGACTTTTACAATGTTTAGCCCAATAAAATATGCTTATAAATTATGAGTCACTCTGACTACTGATAAACAAATGAATCAGATGAATAAATAAATTAAATGTTATAAATATATAAATCAGATATGTAACACGATATCATATGATCTAAACATATGGGGCAATTGGGCGCAGTGTTACACAAAAATATCATTAAAAATATATATAAATTATAAAACTAGATTTAGTGATCATCACGTGATTTGCCGCAATAAGTTGGTTTCGATTGATCAATAAGGTTGGGACTTCTTCAGTCCACGATTTACTATCTCACACTAATCTAAGGTTTCTGGCCAAAACTGCTTCTATTAGTAGCCGAAATTGCCCAAATACTTTGGGCAAAAGTTGTTTTTTTATAAGCCCAAACTACTTTTTGTTATTAGCCGAAATTGAGTGAAATTATTTTAAAGTTGTTTAAGTTAAAACAAGTTGATTCATATAGTTTTTTAATGTTCATGCTTATAAAAAAATGTTGAGAAGCCCAAATTGCCCAAACTAGTTGGGCTTTGAGAAAACAGTTCGGACCAGAAACCTTACACTAGCCAGCATCAACATCTTATGTTTACACTCAACAAAAGAAAAGTTTTGATGGTAAATCTATTGGGTTATGAATGACAGATATAACTATAATTTTATGTTTTATAATTGCTATAATTTATGTTGCTAAAGGACTAAAAAAAAAATAAATCAATATTGTAATAATATGATTATTTCTCCTCTAAGTATTTTTGCTTTTTATTGAGTAATAACTCTATTTTCTTTTCTTAATGTTTATTATTTTTTCTTGGTAAATTTCATAGGTAATCTTTTCTTTATCTAAATATATTTGTGAAGATTTAGTAAGTATCTTCTAATTTAAAAATATAAGGTGCAATTTTTTCACCTTGTTCTTTCTTCAGAATACTTCTAATGGTACTATAATTCTTGGGTTCCATTGTAGATCTGATGTAAATTAACTTCATATTAACTATTTTTATATAGAGGTAATTCTATATATCACCTAATATTAAGAGGATAACAAATGGAAGATTTTAATAATCACATTACTAAATTTGATCCCTGAAATTTTTGGTAACACCAATGTTCACTTTGTCTGGTTTTGTTGCAGCATGCCCCATATAATAAAAATGAATGAACAATCGAAATTTTGAAATTTGTATGGTTGATCTTTTATCACGTGATAACCATTAAGAAAAAATCCGAGAACTCTTTTCTATATATATAGTAATAGGAAAATTTAATTAATATGACACCTGTGATCAACATCAGATTTATTATTCATAAAGAATTATACAATGGGAAGGAAATTTTTTTTTTGATCCTCCCTATCATTTATTCTTGTGAACCCGGATATTGCAGCGCTTTGAAGAGCTGTAATATTAGGTGTGCGTAAACATCTAGATCATCGAAGCAATGAAAATATGCAACTCTTTTCAAGCTCATGAAGGAATTTGCAATTCAGAGTGAGGTTGGGGCTGAAATTTCATTTGTGCTCTTTCTTTTTCAATGATTTCTTCCATGTTCTGCATCAAGAATAAAGTAATAAAATAGAGTTTGTCTATATAAATTAATTATCCTCTGTTTCTTTTATATTACATATTATCCGAATTTATAATTTTGGGTAAGGGGGCTGAGATTTTGCCTAAATATTTACCCAAGTCTATGAGACTTTTTCTTTCATATCATAAGGTTTAGATCCTTATTTCATAGATAATTAAAGATAAACGTTATATTTTCATCTAAAAAATATAATTAGTAGCAAAACAGCAACCAAGGTTGCAACATTCTAAGTTGCAGACACCAGCTTTATTCTAGAGAGGATAGCACAAAGCAAACATCACACAAATGTCAAATTTCATCAGCAATTAATGCTTGCCAATCCTGGTCTGGGGGGAAGATAAGGGAGAATTTTGCCAACCTTGTAAAAAAGGCTTCCAACATGTTCAATCGGTTCACCTGCAGAAATAATCCCAGTTATGAGGCGTGCTTAATTGCACAACATTTGCATGTTTTGTGATAGGAAATTTTTATTATTCAACAATTGGGAAGGAAAAATAAATTTTTTGATCCTCCCCAACTATTTATTATGCAATTATTTTCCATGTCAACGACAACATCAAATGTATTGAATAATCATCATAACCATCACGAATATTTTATGGATGGAGGTATTCATTCATGTACAAGGAAAGGATTAATAACAACAAAAAGCTAAGTCATGTTTATTTTTTATCCAACCAAGATATATATTAATTAATTATATTTAAAAAGATATTCCATTTTTGCAATGAATGCTTTTTTAGCATTAATGATTCAATCAATCACTCAAGTGGTAGCTAAATTAAATGGCATGATTTCAAAAAAAAAAAAAATATATATATATATTTTTGATATTGTCACCGGGTTATTTTTATGTGGGAGAGCATGTATAATGTATATTTCGGAATGAAGTGAGAAATATGCTAACGGATAGCTTTGGATTAGTTGTGGGGAGTATTGGTTAATAAGTTTTAGAGAGGTTCACGAAATTTGATTGCTTATATACTGTACACGTTAATTAATTAGTGGACGAATTTTCGTCATTGGCCGGTTTTTATCAAAAGTCGAAATCTTGATCTTTTGTCCAATCAATACATTTTATTACGAAATAGAAAATTTTAAATATTTAAACTGTCAATATAATAAAACATATTTAAATTGCGTAAAGACTCTTCAGATAAATTTTGCCTTTTATCATTTAAAATTGTATTGTACTTGGAAAAGTTTCGTTTTACGCTACAAGAAGAAATTGGTAACCGATATAGTCTAATGCTATTTGAGATAAACTCCAGTCAGTATAACTTCCAAAATTTACATCTATCACAGATTCATAATAAATTGTCCATTAATCTAATAAAACATTAGATGAATCATTTAATTCTGAATGATATTATATTGACGTGCATCTCTTTGTGTTAAAACAAAAAAAATTTTGGATCAAATTTGACATGATTGAAAAGAGGGGTCGTCCAGGATGAGAAAGAATCCATGCCGCAAACTTTTCACGGGCCACTTTTGGAAAATAGGATAAAATTCATTTGGGCGAAAATGACAATTGATAATTATTGAATCCAAATTAAAAAATTTGTTGCAATAAAAGGAAATGCTAGTTTTTCTTGTTGAAACAAATCCAATATTTAATAAATTGATGAAATAAATTGATATAGATTGTTGTGAATGGAGAGATATAATGATTTTTGATATTTTTGTTTTGCCAGTTCATTCTCAGCTTGAAAAAATCCAGGCCAATATATAAGATGATCCTTTGTACATAAACCAAGGATTCCGTCGTGTTTTACAAGGAAGAGGAATTTTTCGTGGTTGATTAACTCCATGAAACCATAAATGATCTATATATCGACGGCAACTCTAATGAATTCTTCTTTAATTTTTTGACTACTGAAAAATGATTAAATGCACATCAAATATCACTAAAAAAAAGTTACAATAACTTGTGTGTATATATATATATATTATATGATAAAACTACCTTAAACTTATCCAATTAAATTTAAAATGTGTGCACAACAGGGAATAAGATGTAAAACTTCACGATAACATTTTTTTATACATGCAGCTGAATCTGCGAGAAAAGGCAATTGGAATATCATATTTTGGAAGAATATTGATAAGAGTTTGACACATAGTTACATTCTTTACGTGTGAGAAAAGTCTGCAGAAACAATTTTGTATTTTTACGTTATGCAAAATGAGTATTAACTACACTTCTTTGACAATCATCGGTAATTTCATCCATGATAATAGAAACAGGTTTTGACTAAAATGAGTTTTAAGATTTTTAAATGTATTAAAAAAAAAAGTGCGAGGTGCACATAATTGACGTGATGTGATGTTGCTGTTTATGGAATAGTACACCTTCTTCGTAATGTTTTTTAAAAAAATTAAGAGTTATCTGCTATAGAAAGGGCTTCGATTAAATCATGAATTATAGTTTTTTTAGATCAGAAAGAAAGAGAGGTAACTGGTGTTTGTTGAAGTTGACGTTGCCTTTGTTTTACTATTAAGATGGTCATTGATTGACAGTTGACTTTCGTATCCAATCTTAATAGAATGGTCACAAAAATTACAAATAAAATTCCATCATCAATGCGAAATTAGGATTGATTGTTAATGTTCTCGTACCTCTTTTTCTATTCATTATTTAAAAAGAAACTTTATTATTATGTTAATCTAGAAAATATTATAGCGTTAATTAATAATCCTATTAATCCCATTACACTTATTAAATTCCTTTTTCATATTATCTGCGGTATTCTATAGAGCATTATTATCATACACATTCCGTGATTTCTGCGGCATTCTGCAAATGATCGTCCTAATACTAATATATATATGTTGCCTGAAAATTTGTGGAACGTACTTACTTTTATTACCACATTTATTGTATTATATAAACTATCGCATTATACTAATACAATTATAATCATGCCTCTACCTGTAAAACAAGAATTGCTTGATTTTGTAATGTGCCAGTTTGATCGTGAAGAGTCAGAACGTGCAAGAAGATTAAATCAAGAGTTGATTGAAGGCAGGAAAGAAGCCGATCGAGAACTAGAAAAAACAATGTTAAAGTGTAAAGAAAAGGCACAAAGAAAATGGGAAGTGTATCAACGTGAATGTTTGGTAAAAGAGCAAGAGTTTTATAAAAAAATGAGGGAGTTGATACGAGAAGGAGAAGAAAAGGCAGCTGAAGAAGAGAGGACTTTATTAGGAAGGGTGGAATTAATTAAGAAGCATATACGAACTTTGGAGATAGAAAGGGAACAAGAAGAACATGAAGCTGAAAGAATAAGAAAAAAGAGCGAAGAAGATCGTAAAAATGCAGAGTTAGCAGAACTTGCTAGAATAGAACAACAGCGCAGACAATTAGAAATGAAACAAAAAGAAGAGCAAGAAAAAATAAAAAAAGAGAAAGAAAGACTTGCAGAGGAAAAAAAAAAAAAAGATAATATAAAAAGCCTAGAGGATCAATTAAAAAAACAGCAAGCTATTCAGCAGCAAGCAACCTCATCAAAACTAGTTGGTGACTTTAATCGTGTCGCAAGTGAAAGTGCTTTAAAAGAAGCAGCAAAATATGAAGAACATATAACTCGAATAAAAACTCATCTTTCAAAGAAAGGCACTAATATTAGTAAAGATCACTCATATCAAGTTAGAAAAAATGTTATTGCAAGCTTCAACACCATAACTGATCATAAAAATGATGTTATTAGATCTGTAAGTAGATATGAACATCTAATAAATATTATGTTTAAATAACAATAAGTATTAATATTTTATATTTAGGCAACTGAATTATGCAAAATATTATCAGATTCCAAAATTAACCAATATTTATATCATTATGCATTAAAAGTGATATCAAAAAAATTTATTGTAAGTATCTATCTATCTTACTATCTATCATATCTATTATTTTATATCAATTATCAATAAATTTTATTGTTATTAATATTTTTAAAATTTTTGGATCTAAAAGAAATATGCAGAAATTGACTCAAAAATGATATTTAACTTAGCTCATGTTGCTGTTTTAGTTTCTTCACAAGCACCAGAACTTGTTGAGCAATACCTCATGCCTATAATGTATAAAAATTGTTGTTATATACTTCCAAGATATTATAACAGGCAAAATGTAAGTGGTTGGTAATAATATGTGTATACTATTGTTATTTTTATCATTTTAATTTATTTTTATTAATTAATAATATTATGTGATAATTGTAATTAGGGCCAATCTGAAGAAGCTTACAAAAAACAAATTGGATATAAAATCAGTAAAGATGCTGATGATCAATATGTAGAATCTGATGAGTCTTACATAACAAGAATGTGTAATATAGCTGGCTTATATTTTGCAATAATGCAAACTGATCCTTTATTTCCAAGTAATTTTCTATAATTATTGGTTTGATTTATTTAAAATATCAATCATGATTTTTAATATAATCTTTCTATCTAGATATAGAAAAACCTATACCAATAACCGATGGATTTAAATGGATTTCTAGAATAATGAACTTAGTACCACGTCCAATTACCCCATCTCTAGTTTATACATGTTTGACTGTAAGTCAAAGTATTCTATTTTACAATCAAATATCAGAATCCAATTTGATAATAAATTATTATTTGTTTTGTTTATTTTTTTGACAGATTATTCCTGTTGAAGTGCATAAGCATTTTAAACATGATGCATATACATTATTCAGTTCAATATACCGACATTATTTCTTAAACCCAGTACAAGAATTTATTGATCTTAAAAATACTGCGCCAGCTGCTTTATCAAGATTAAATACTTTAATGGATGAAGCAGCTAAAAACAAATTTATGTTTCCAGAACACAAATTAAAATATCTAAAAGATTAAAGGAAGGGAGAAACTAAATATTGTTTTTATTTTTATAAATAAATTCAATTTAGATTTAATATTATTTTAATAATAAACCAAATTTTGGTTATATTTTTATTCTTAAAGTACAGTTTAAATGTAATTTTTTTTTGTATAATTAATAATTTAAAAGCTATCACTTGTCATATTTACAAAATCAAATTGGGTTAATTAGAATCTGTTGCATGAAATTATGATGATGGTGGTGACCTCAAATGTTAATTTTTTAATAATGTATTTTTGAATATCAAGAATGTATCAAATCAATTTTCAACGTTAAGGGAAGTCTCAATTCAATTAAAACCTTACAATAATTGATTATATGGGATTGATGGTAAAATTTATGAGGTTCTTAGATTACTTCATTCCTTAGGTTACGTTATCTCAATCTGTTAATTTTTTTCTTCACTTTTTCAAGAGGTAATAACATACATGATACATGGTAACTTATTCAAAGAATCCAAGTGTTTTTTCATTTTTTGTTGTTCTTTTTGAATTCGAACTTGATTTTCAGTTAGTTTTTTTTTTGCTGGATCCTATCATAATGTCTTTTATTTTATTTTAGTTTCCGGTCACTATCCTCTCCATGTTAACTTCTCAGATATTAGGATTATTATTAAGATCCATACTACAGTCTGCCCTTGTTTCAACGAAGTGGCTGGACATATAGAAAATTTTATTCAACATTCGTTGAAACAAGGTTACTAATCGCGTTTCAACGAATTTTTTATGTTTTCATAATGTGTAACAACGTTTTTAAAAATTCGTTGTATCAAAAATTTAATTATACTTCGTTGAAACTGTAGTTGATAACAATGGAATAGAACCTAAATTGGAAGGATCCTTTTTTTTATGCTATAATACATAGATACTAAAAACTATTTATTCGGTATACACTCACCTGCCAAAATTATCCAGTTGCTTTTGGCAGGTGAATGTATAATTTATTTGGTATATAATATAATTTATTATATCCATCCGGAATGTTGCTATCTCTAAGGTCTGTTAGCATTTTTTTTTTTGTTCCGAATCTTGCTATATATGAAAATGTAGCAATGTATTACTATGATTTGTGTGGAGAATGCAATCAGAAACTTCGAGATGAAAAGCATCAATAATATATTGATATAGATAGTATTTTGGTTTGTTAATTGATGAGTAAAGATGTTTTGGAATTACTATTTCAGGATCTTCATTCAATTAAACAAATCCAATTCTCTTCACATAATTTCTTTTGAGCTGATCCATGCTTGCTGTTTGATAAAATTATTCAGACTTCCTCTATGTGGAGGAATTTGATCTATTTTTCATGTTGCTCACCTGCACTTTGATTGCAAAGCAATACTGATAATAGGGAATATTGAGCCCTAATCCTATTGGATTGCTTAGGTGTTTTTAAGAAATCAGGTCTTGGTCATATTTATTTTGGCAAAGTGGACACCACCTATTATGTTTTATATAATTAAAATCTGCCATTCATGGCAATGCCATCATAGTGTAATATGGCAATTGATGATATAAAAGACATTCACCGTTTTTACTATATGCAATTCGTTTAGCTTCCTCAATATTGTTTGCAAAATGTGTACACCATGTATTAGAATTTTTATGATTAAAATTTGCATGCCATATTGTGGGTGTTGATAGCAAAATTTGATCAAGAGTATATTTTTTCATGATAAAATTAAACAGAGCCTTTTGCCTTATCCCATTTGGTTATAAAGTTTATCTATTAGCGACTTTTTTTCAATGTTTTTTACATGTAAAAAATTTCTTTATTTGGTAAGAAAAATTTTTTTTTCTATAGCCTAAAAGCTTGATATATTTAATATAATTTCCCTTGGTTTCATGTTTTATCTCTTTAGCTAATACAATATTTATTTGTATAGTTTTTATATATTTTTTATTTTTTAAAAAAAGTGTATTATTGACATTACGTTATATCACTTTTGATTTAATTAGGACATCTCATACCCAGTGCCATATGTATCCTTTAACAAACGACATAATAAAGCTGATCGAATATTGACAAATATTTCAGAAAGACACTCTCCATTTCTATTATGTGCTACCTGTTTTGCATCTTCAATAGTACAATGGCACACATCTGCGAACACGCCATGGGATACCAAGTACAGTTTTTTATATTGCTAAGTTGAGCATCCCATTCATGCCCTTCAGTACAACGCCATCGCAATGGAATGTGGCAATTGACATATTTACCTGAGAGGCATAAACTGCCTCATTCTTTTGCAATTTCTTTTGGATAGTAAAAGAGGTTTGTTTCCAACACAATATGGATGCCGAGATCTAGCATACTTAATATGGAAAAATTTGATACTTCATTCATGCCCTTTAACACAGCGCCATCTTGTGGAATATTGCAACTGGCATATTGATCTGAAAGGCACAAATCATCTTGTTTTGTTGCAATTTCATGTGCATCTTTTACGGAATAATTAGTTTTACAAGACATCAAGAATAAAAATACTCCTGCTTTTTAAATTTTGGCGAATCTTTAAAATATTTAGTAAGTTTGGAGGAATTAAAAACAAAAACACCAATCAAGATCGAGCCGAATTTGGGAGGCAGTTAGAAATGATGATACAAAGAAAGGCGATAAATACCTTGGGATTGCTCTTATTTCAGAGAAAACATAAGACTTTCTGGTTGGTATGGATTCATTTATCATCATTATCCTTTTATGAAAATTATTGAATATACTGTTCCTCGATGGGATGATCTTAAAAAGAGCAATTACATAAGGCATTAGAGTTGCAATCTCAACATAACAATATACCGATTTAATTCTGGTCAAAAATAGATTAATACTAATACTCCATGATTCATAAACAGATTGTTAAAGATATCTGATTGACATTAAGGTAATAGTTGGCGAAGCATTGTCACAACATTCACACAATAAAAAACCCCCATTATGACCTCTTCAAAACTATTTTTTGGGTACAGAGTGTTACGAAAGTAATTGACCTGTAAATTTGTTTTCTAAGGAAGTAAAAAAATCCAAAGCAACATTATGAAAAATTATATCAGATGGTCAAGAGATTTTAGCATATTATTATGTAGGTTATGGAGTAATGATTAAAAAACTTTACATTAAAAATTTTTCTTCTTTTTCAAAAACAAGTAAATTTCTTTTATTTTTAATTGATGAAGTTCTAAAAAATATGGAGACATATAATTTTATATCTATAATCCTCAGAATATAAGCTACGAATTGTTATGTTTTTTTGTATAATTATTATGCGTGTTTTTGTGTTAGAGCGATTGTTAAAAAAATTACATGTTAAAATTTCAGAGAAAATTTAAAAAGACAAAAAATTGGCCAATTTTTTTCGTAACACACTATATATACCGTAAAGTCTGGACCCCCTTTTACATAAGTGTAACATTTTTTTAATATTGACGCTCAATTGTTTTAAAGTAGGAGTGCATCTTTCCAGACTTTACGGTAAGACGAATGGGCTCGTTCTCGTTAAATAAATCTAATTTTTTTTTATTGATAATTCGAATATAGTAAAAATAAATACAATAATAATAATAATAATAATAATAATAATACCTAATAACTAATAATACTAATGATTTAAATAATTTTAATAGTATATTAATACATAAAATTTTGAAAAGCATCTAAACATATTAAAAATATACTTTTTTTAAGTAGGGGTAGCTGTAGGGCTGTCAGTAGGGGAACCTTATCCGTTACATATGTAGTCTGACCCACCACATGTTTGGCCTGCTAGACAGCAAAAATTAACAGTAACTTTGCAACAAACGTCACCTGGTCTACAGCAACCAGGACCACAAACTGGATCAGTAGACTTACATGGAGCTGAGCATTGGTTGTCGACACATGTTTGATCACTAGGACAACATCCTCCAAATGGACACAGGGAAAAACCGTTTGGACAATTACCTCCCTGGTTTTTCAGAGATCCTGAGTTTGATTTTGTAACAACAATTCCTTTCTTCAAAGTTGAAAGAAGAGGAGCATCTCTTTTCCGTCCCAGATTTGCCCCAGTGACGATAAAGACGTTGAAAATTATGGTGACGAGAACAAGAAGAATTAATGTAAACTTCATGATGATTTTTATTTGTGAGTGTTTGAATGATTGAAATTTTTTTAAAAAAAAACTTAGATAAGGTTGTTTATTTATAATAAAATCATTAAATGACCGGCCCAAAAAGTTAAACCAATTAATAATAAACTTTAACCTATTAATTAACTGGTTAAGTATATAATAATACTAAATTAGGGAAATTAATTAGTATATATTCGTGAGGCATTATTAATGAAGTTTACAAAACTGTTCGATGAAAAAAATCTTTTTTAGATAATGAACAATTCTTATGCCCCGCTCATTATAAAAATGCATATTCCAACAATTACACAACATAGCATAGTTGAATAAAATTGGACTAATTTGAAAGCTTTAACATATTAAAAATATACTTTTTTTAAGTAGGGGTAGCTGTAGGGATAGAACTGTCGGTAGGGAAACTTTGTGTGTTACATTCGTAGTCTGATCCACCACAGGTTTGGCCTGCTAGACAGCAAAAATTAACAGTACCACTGCAACAAATTTCATCTGATCTACAGCAACCATTACCACAAACTGGATCACTAGACTGACATGAACCTGAGCATTGGTTGTTGCCAGTACATATTTGACCATTAGGACAACATCCGCCATTCTGACATGGGGAAAAACCGTTTGGACAATCACCTCCCTGTTTTTTCAGAGATGATGAGTTTGCACTTGTAACAACAATTCCTTCCTTCCAAGTTGAAAGAAGAGGCGCATCTCTTTTCCGTCCCAAGTGACGATAAAGGCGTTGAAAATTATGGCGACGAGAACAAGAAGAATTAATGTAAACTTCATGATAATTTTGCTTGTGAGTGTTTGAATGATTGAAACTTTTTTAAAAAAAAACGGGCTTTCATTTATAATAAATCATTGTGATGATATTTAAAGGTTGGAACCGGTCCAGGGACGATGATTTTATGCAATATTACATAATCAAGTAAAGTTGCCGGATAATGTAGAATTGATAATTTATCGCACGATCAACATAAAAAATCATAATTAACCTTGATGTATTCTTTCTGTTTAAGTAATTATTTATTCGTGTTGTACGTGAAAATGAAATTATGTGAATTCGCAATTCACATACACAGGTAGACTCGATAAGTCGGTTTTGGCCTAAGTCAGCCAAAATTTTTCAGCCCTTTTTTTCCCTATTTAAAATCCCTTGATAAGTCAGCCGACCTATATAAAGTCGCGATAACTTATAAGTCAGCCAACCCCTCTTTTTAGGATAAGTAAATTGTTCTCGATAAGTCAGCCTCACGTGACATTTTCATTATATAAAAGATCATCATTACTACTTTTAGTAACGTATGATTTTTTTTTTATTTATAAATTTTTATCATACGTTATAATCTGATGATTTAGAAATTCTTGTCGCGATATTTTATTATTTCATTTTTGTATCATCAGGTTATATCGTTGATTGTATAATTATTGCCTGATAATTTAGAAAGAATATTTTTGTTTGTATAGTAGAAAATACATTTATTCATTTTTATTATGTTTTATTATGTTCGGAAATATGTATAAAAAGGTTGTTGGTTGATTTTCCAAACTTCTGAAATTCTAATAAAAAGATCAATATAAATAATTATTGTTTTAAAAACTATTTATAATTTATAAATCAAAATTTTAACCATAATAATGAATACAGAAAATAACATGGGGAGAAAATTAGTTACTCTTACTAATATTAAAAAAAAAGAATTATGTGAATATAAAATTGCTAATCCAACCAAAACAAATGAACAAATTGGCAAAGAATTCGGAATTGGAAAATCAACAGTAGGAGGTATTTTTAAAGAAAAGACGAGATGGATTGCAATTGATGCAGATTCAGACATCATTAAAAAAAGAGAGCGTGTAGGTGAATGGCCACAACTAGAAGATGCATTAGCAATTTGGATTGATAATGCTAATAGAGCGAATTGTACAATAACTGGTGTAATCATCTGTCAAAAGGCAAAAGAATATGCTACAAGACTTGGTATTAATGAATTTTCTGCATCAAAGGAAAGTATCAATTTTGTCTATTAAACATAAAAAAAAT